GAACATAGTATATATTAAACATTTCTCTTAGAAAGCATAATATTCAGCTCTCCCGTGAGGCAGGAGTAATAATGTTAAACTAAAGCAAGAGGCTTTGTGACAGGGTCGCCGTAAGCCTGGCTTGTCAGAGAACATGGTGTAGTTGGCCAGTCATGCTGGGGAAAGGGTAGGAGCAAAGTGAGAAGCCCTGCATGCACCTGCCTCCCCTCTGCCCTCTCCCCCTTGCCTGTTTAACTCGAGGCTAGGAGCAGGAGGGAGGGCCTGGGTCAGCTCTTCCTGTAATCCAGTTGGCCTGGGGTAGCCCCAAATGGATAGCCTCTCTGGCCTAGAAAGAAGTGTGGCGAGTGAGTCTAAAATGGAAACAAATACTGAGTGAACCTAATCTCTACGGAGTAATCTGCCTGATGGGGAAAGCTGTAGAAGCAAATAATTCCAGTTCAGTATTTTAAGTTCTGCAAGCAGAATTCTGGGCTTCAGGGCGGACAGGTGGTACTAATTGCCTGGAGTAATTCAAGAAGGCTTTCCGATAGGGAGGTGAATGCCTGGGGTGGGGGTGGGGGGGAAGCTGGACGGGGTCAAGGGGGGAAAAGGGGGACACACTTAAAAAAAGAGAAGGTTTTCCAAAAGATGCATCACCCGGGCTGAGCTTTGAATAGAGGGAACAGCAGGTGTAAAGGCATAAAGGCACAGCATAGCATGGAAGGGACCAGAAAGTAGTTCAGTGGGGCAGGCATGTAGGACAGTGCTGGGGAGCAGAGTGCGGAGCGGAAGGCATGAGCAGAAGGAGAGGAAAGGAGACTGGTGAAAGCGCACCTTGGTGAAGCTTTCCACCAAACTCGACCTTTTCGCTCTCCTTCCATTATGTATGCGCTGCCTGAGGGCAGATCTTTTATTTCATTATGACCAGGCTTCTACCACCAGGCTCTGGCCCTGGAGGGCCCACAGATAGTAGCGATGAGCAGAAAGCAAGGACCCAAGTCAGCAACCTGGCCCCAGCGTTTATATCCAGGAGGAAGGGTAGTGATGGGGCCAGTGTTTGAGAAGGAGCAGGGCCTGGGGCAGAGCAGGGCCCCCACACGGAGGAGATGCACTCGCATCACAGATCACAGCATCGGAGAGCGGAAGGGGGTCTTAGGAACCTCACCCACAGCTCAGGTTTCCAGGAGAGGCTCCGAGAGGCAAGAAAGATTTGATTTCATTTCTGATTTGGAAACTCGCTTGCCTTCTCTTCCTTATGATCTTTAAATAATATTTTCTTTTCTCTAGTTTACTTGGTTGTGAGAGTACAGTATATAAAAATATAGCATACAAAGTATGTGTTAACCGACTGTTTATACTAGTGGTAAGGCCTCCAGTCCATAGTAGGCTATAGGTAGTCAACTTCAGGAGTCAAAAGATATGTGTTGATTTTCCACTGCATGGGGGTACCCTTACCTCATCCCCGTATTGTTCAAGGGTCGACTGAACAACAATTTTCAGCGGGGCCGGGGCTGGGCGTCAGCAGATAGAAACAACAGGTGTACAGGCCTTGAAATCCTCACTTGACAATGGGCTTCTCAGACAAAAGCCTTTATTCCAGCAGCCCTGCCTGCCAGCGGAGCAGGCTGTGTTTGCTAAGATAGTTCTGTGCTGTGTGTGATTTCCAGGAGGCTGGCTGAACAGCGAACAAGATCGGAGTGAGAAATGACAGGCTGTTAGCAGTGGAAAGTCACTATTTGTCAGTTGACAAGAAACTGGACAATGGCTTATTTCAAGAATATGGTTGTCGTCAATGTCACCGCCTTGCCAATGGTGCCAGTGGAGGAGGGCCTGCCACCGAGTGGGAAGCAGAATGCCGCAAGGAAGACTCTGGAAGGCCATGTACCTTATATCCTTCTGTGGTGCCGTTTACAATCGAGACCAAATATACCCCCCCCCCCCCCCGGGGTGCAGCCTGTGCGAAGTTCATTAACATGCGTTACTTGTTAGCTCGTTCCTTATAAATTCATTACGTTTTTCATTACTTACGTTCTGCCTATCCTCTAAAAGAATTTGAGACCGGTAAGGATTATTTGACTTTGAATTTTTTTTACTGAGATCATTGAAAGAGCGCAAAAGGAGGAAGTCCTGGAAATATTTGTTGAAGGAATCAGGAAGAAGAGAAAAAAGCTTTTTTTTTTTTCATTGCCGCCTCCTTTCCCTTTTTTCTTTCCCCCAAAATGACAATTATAGATAGCAACTACAACGTCAGTGCCCAGCCCTCGAGCCTCAGGTAAGTAAACTTAAGACCCAATTTAAAACATTATTTTCCTCCAGCTGACCTCACCTCGGCTCACCTGCCAGCCCTTTGGCCTGGGCTCAGAGTTGGCCCCTTCTGGCACCATCCTGGCTCTACTAGCATCTTACTTCTCTAGTCCTGCCTTTGTCCATCCTCATCTCCCTTCTGACCCTGAACTGTATCCCAGGGACGCACAGAATTCCATCTCTGGAGGACTTAGAGTTCATCCAGAAAATGACCCTCTCAGGTTATAAATAACTGCAGGTCTTTTCATCTCACACGGAGCTCATTTCCCTTCAAGTCCTGCTGCTGCCGGCCCAACGGCACTCGCCCATCTGCGTCCCCTTCTCCCCGCGCCTCTTAGGAAGCCTCCTCAAGTGAGCCTGTGATCCCACCAGGACCTGCTCAGGGTCTCGCTTCCCTGGGCCATTTCTAACCGTTCCCTCTTTCTTCTTCATCCCACACTCATCTCAGCCTAACTGACCCATCGGAGTGGTCGTGCCCCCGCTTGGCATCTTCATTTGCCGAGTGTCCTCCAATCTGTGAGGACACTTGAAGGTAATGGAGAACGCGTGAACCTTGCTTTATGTGAAGGTGGCGAGCGGAGTGGTAGGATTATGGGGCTTTTACAGAGGATTTGTCTTAGGCCAATTGAAGCTCAGACAGAAATTCAGGCATAGCGAGGGTAACAAGATGGGCCATTGAACGGAGCAGAGATTTCAACAGCGATGAACAGGTTGAGATACACTTTGATCCAATCATCCGTAACCTAAAATCTCCTAAAGGAATAACCCAAAATATGGAACTAGAGCTTTGTGTGACTATGGGTATAATTTGCAATGATTTATAACTGCAAAAAGTGATAAACAACCTGAATATTCCATAACCAAGGAACAGTTAATTGTATTAAAGGGCATCCTCTACACGGATTTGTATAATGCCGTTTAAAATATTGCAAAGATCATTCCGCTTTATGGAAAATGATCATATTAGTGCGTGGAAGAGAAGTCAGAGTAGTAAAATAGACATACACTGAGATTATAATTATGGGCAAAGGGCTGTATGTAAAAAATACTGGGAGGAAATCTCCCTAAATCCTAAAAAGAGTTGTTATGGTGGTAGCATCATGGACGATCCTCTCTTTATTTTCCAAGGTATTTAGAATAGAATTATCAATTACCATTTATAAAGCAGCGAATTTAACACAAGACAGAAGGCATGTTGAATGTTTGGAAAGAAGATAATTAAGTGGAGCGACAGTACAGAAGGGAGTGAGCCCGTGTCCTTGCCAGGCTAGCTCGCCCTGCCTGTGTGTAACTGCTACCCAGACTTTCCTTAGCGGACTTTCCTTAGCGTGTCTTGTAGGCTCCATCCACCAGGTGAACGAGAGGATTGCTGAAGTGAGCCTGACTCCCAAGCCGCTGGACAACATCCTGGTGAGTCAGGGATGTCCCTGCTGAGGCCAGGCCTCCAGGAAGGAACGGCTCTGGAGGTCCCTCCATATATTGAAAGCACATTTGCCAATAGGGGCCTCTAGTCTATACTAATACAAGGGTAATATGCTAATTAGACAGGGAGACCTTCAGGACCTTCCAGACAAAGCTATGGTGGTGGGGCTGAGGCAGAGGCATTCTATGTGATATGTCTGGGATTTTACTGCCTATGTTTTCTTCAAGGAAATTTTATGGTTTTGTGACTTACATTTATTTTATCCATTTTGAGTTTATT